CAGGGGGGTTGGGTCAAACAAATCTGGAACGGACAGGGGGTTGGGTCAAACAAATCTGGAACGGACAGGGGGGATGGGTCGAAATAATGAAATTGGACTGGACAGGGGGTGGGTAAAAAAATTCTGGACTGGACAGGGGGTTGGGCCAAAAGCTGATTTTAGACCTCTTCCACCCCCCCTCCACAGTTATTTTTCGGAACAGCCCAATGCATATACTGCCAGAGAAAAAGGCGTTTTTCGTCCAGACGTGACTGAAGATGTTTTTTCTGTCTTACCCATGCCCCCCCCCGTGCCATGCACTCCAGCAATGTCTAATCAAAACATTTCTAGATTTTCTCAACATTCCTCGCGCACTGACACAACAGAAATTAAACTCCTTTTACCAAACTGTAAGTATACAACATTCTATCAAACACTACTTCCTCCCTTTCTGTAATATCGTAAACGAGTACGAGTATTATATACCGTGAGGCTTGTTCGTCAGCACCCAAACAAAAACAAGAGAGCAAGCTCGAGCTCGAGAAAAAAAAATCTAAATTTTTACCGGTACAGCCAGCTGAAATGGACCAAATATGTAGTCTAGCTTACACACAAACAGTTTGACAGTGTTATGTTCCAGTCCAGCGACGTTACAAGTAACCAAAGCCCGGCTTTTTCACGGGTGACGGGTTTTGCAAGGAAGATAGCGGTACATACACACCTACCTACTTGTCAGGGTCATCTGCCATCTTTGTCGGGACGGACTCGTCCATTCACGATTTACAGGGGTGGTACCCGCAACATTTAACCGGTGTAAACATTCACGTTTTCCTGTTTTTTCACCACAAAAAGTCTCAGTAAATGGACTAGAGCAGTCATCAATGTCATCGGGTGATGACAATTGGGTAACACTGCCTGTTAAAGTATTTAAAGATTCAAAAGTTTCATTTATTTCCGACAGGGAACCACCGTCTTCTGAGGACATCTAGCGGAATATCTCTTAAGTGTAGACTGTAAGGTACCGTTAACTTTTCCTTTGATTTTCACTCAAAAATCATGGTATTTTGATAAATAAAAACATGTTCACTGACATGAAATGAATCAAAACTTGTTCTTAGGGTCACGATGCCACCTAGCGGATAGCTTACGAAGTGTACACTAATGACTCAGAACCAATGACTCATAGGGTGACACTTCCCAGAAGTCGGCCCACTGTGCCTCACTTCCGCTGAGTTTCCAGTTTCGCCTATAGCTTGAAAACGTAGCAAACATAGCTTAACATGGCTCTTGGCTGATCTCTTGACGTGGAGTGTTTGTGTTCCAAGGAAGCAGGAGTTCTTCAGTCTTACCGTGAACCAGGTAACGTTTAGGCATTTGTTTGTTTTCATGGGTCATTCTTGTACCGTAGCGACTATATGCGGAAGTGACATAAGGAACAATCTATGTCGCTGTGAACATACGGAGTGCCATGGCGCTGGCGTTGACAATTAATGCAGACGGATTTATAATTATCCCCAGTTGTTTGACTGCGTACAATTTTGAGAAGTTTCCATATTCTGAAAGGGGCCTCGGGGGAGCCTGCTCGGGGACCCTCTCATATCATGTCGGAATATCGACATTTAGTGAATTTGAAGAACTTTGCTAACGTTTAACTATGAGACGTGGTATAATTTCAAACAACAACAAATATTAATTTGTCTGACTTTGTAATCCTATTCAAACAACAACAAACTTATCATGTCAATTTTTGTCACAATCTTGTTTTCCTATCTACAATCATGATCAATTCTCCAATTGATTATCAATAACGCCTGCATAGAGAAATCTACGTAACTCGTTAACTTAAGTTAACTTTACACCAATTATAGTTCTTGCCTCCCCCCCCCCCCTCCCCTCGTTGTAATCTACCATCTTTTACAAGTGCTGACCAAAAAACTGACCGGAACACACAAATTGTTCGAAGTAAACTGGTCTGATCAAAGGGGGGCTAATTATATTAGG